AAAAAAAACACCCCACCCGCTGCCTCTTAAACGAGAGGGGGAAAAGATGATTTCACAGTCAGAGAGAGTCGGCGCTTCGAAACACTCCGTAATCATTGCGAGATGATTCCACGGGGCAGCCCAGGTGTCACTGCCAGCCTGCTTGCCTCTCCACGGGTTGCCTGCTGGACCCCACTTCCCTGCGGAGGGGGTCGCCAGGGGCCATGCAGGCCCTGGGTCTGGTTGTCACAGCCGCCCATCAATGGGAGACAGCCGTGGCGCGCCGACCTCGCCGTGGTATCTCTCTTGTCAAAGAGGAAGAGAGAAGGGGGCGACCCCCAGGCCTTCTCCCCCCCCACCGCTGCGTCTGTCAACCACAGCTTGTCAGCTCCGAGAGGCAAAACCTGAATCATTCTCCCTGGAGAGAAGGTTGCAGAGCTGAAATTGGAGCTGGGGGTAAAGGGCTGCGCCAGTTCCCTGCGGAGCTTTGTCCAAAACGACGAGAATCAAGATCACATGAAGTGTTATAATACCGCTCTAGAATGCCTTGGCAAGGTCACACTGAAAATCCAGTTTTGGTCAGCACGATGTAAAAAAGGACTCTAGAAAGAGTGCAGAGAAGGGCAGCCAAGATGATTAGGGGGCTGGAGGCTAAAACCTACGACGAACGGTTGCAGGAACTGGGCATGGCCTAGTCTAGGGAAGAGAAGGACCAGGGGTGACGTGATAGCGGTCTTCCAATATCTCAGGGGCTGCCCCAAAGAAGAGGGAGTCAAGCTATTCTCCAAAGCACCTGAAGGCAGGACAAGAAGCAATAAGGATGGAAACTAATCAAGGAGAGAAGCAACCTAGAACTAAGGAGGAATTTCCTGACAGTCAGAACAATTAATCTGTGGAACAACTTGCCTTGAGAAGTTGTAAATGCTCCAGCACTGGGTGTTTTGAAGAAGAGACTGGACAGCCATTTGTCTGAAATGGTGTAGGGTTTTCTGCCTAAGCAGGGGGTTGGACTAGAAGACCTCCAAGGTCCCTTCCAACTCTGTTATTCTGTTATAAGGGTGGAAAGGAAGCTTCCTGCCTGATTTATGACTACACATTCACCATGCAACCAGGCGGATGTCCTTTATTACCACGATTCCTCTTTTAACATCAAGGAAATTGCTGCCATTTCATCTTCTTTGGCTTAGAAAAGAAAATATTAAGTTAGCTTGCCAAGCACCCTCTCCGAAACCCATCGGAGCTCCTCCACAGCCGCATTTCAATCCTCTTCCTCTTTATCTTACACGCCACTGCAAACATTGGAGGCATTGTTAATCCCTCTGATGCTTCATCCATCACGCCTGTAATGAAAATAATTACCTGCGAACCACAGAGAGTTTCTCAGGGCTTTGTTCGGAGGTCGCAATTCCTGGTAGACTTTAATAATATATATAAATATATTTGGTAATGAGCATGTTGTAGAAATAATTAAGTGCCTCAGCTAGGCCCCCTCCATCCCTCCCCCTCCTGTAAAATAGCGGGATTTAATTGAGTAAAAGTCATTCGAAATAACCTGTGCTAAAGCAGAGGGCTTAATTTACCTTCAGGTAAGCATCTGTAATTGCCTGGGTCCACAAAGAAGGAGAGGTGGAGAAAGAGAGAGAGAGAATGAGATAGAGAGAAAGAGGGAGGGAGGGAGGGAGAGAAAGAGAGGGAGAGAAAGAGGGAAAGAGAGGGAGGGAGAGAGAAAGGGAGGGGGAGGGAGAGAAAGGGAAAGAGAGAGAGGGAGGGAGGGAGAGAAAGAGGGAGAGAGGGAAAGAGAGAAAGAGGGAGAGAGGGATGGAGAGAAAGAGGAAGAGAAGGAAAGAGAAAGAGGGAGGGAGAGGGAGAGAGAGAGAGAGAAGGTGGCTCATTTGTGTAAGGTGGTTTAGGAACGAGCAAATGGCATTTCTGAAAACAAAGTGGTGCCTCTTTGCTTATCCAGACCTGTTCCTGAGCGATATAAATCAGCTACTTTCCAGGGCTGTTGAGCAGATAACTTTGATTTAATGCCTGATGGTTTGAAATGCTAATTCCTCAAAGGAGGCAGGTGCAAGATTTTGGACCCCAGTCTAGAAATGCCGCCTAAGATGGTTCAGATGGGTGGCAGATCAATTTAATAAAAGAAAGAAAGAAAGAACAAATAAAAATAAGCAGAGATCGGAATAAAGTGCAGGCAGAAGTCCTAAGGGTCGTGCTGGGCACTGTAAGACCCACTTTACGACTTTTCAGGCCACCTTTGTTAAGTGATTCCCTGCGGTTGTTACATTAGTCACACGGTCGTTAAGTGGATCTGGCTTCCCTGTTGACTTTGCTTGTCAGACGGTCACAAAAGCGGATCACGTGACTCTGGGACCCTGCAGCCGTCATAAATATGAGTCCATTGCCAAGCATCTGAATGTAAACCACATGACCACGGGGATGCTGCAACGGCCATATAAGTGAGAAAAAACATTCCTAAGTCCCTTTTTTTTTGGTGCCGTTGTAACTTTGAACAGTCACTGAGTGAACTGTTGTAGATCGAGGACTACCTGAATATTGGTAGGTAGGCAACATAGACTCCTGGCCAAAAAAAGGAGAATGCAATGGAGCCATACAGAAAAGGACGCAGCTGGTTTGAGGCCGAACAGCAGAGAACGAAAAATTCCCATCTGAAGATGGAGCAAGCATGGGATGAATTTAGAAATGTTCTGCTTATTAACTTTCTTTCCAGATTGAATCAGAGAGCTGACCATATTTACTTCCTGTTGTTGTTGTTGTTGTTGTTGTTGTTGTTAGTTGCGAAGTCGTGTCCGACCCATCGTGACCCCCTGGACCACATTCCTCCAGGCCTTCCTGTCCTCTACCATCTTCTGGAGTACATTGAAGCTCACGCCTACTGCTTCAGTGACTCTATCCAGCCCCTTCCTTTTCTGTTGTCTCCTCCTCCCCCTGCACCACATTCCTCCAGGCCTTCCTGTCCTCTACCATCCCCCAAAGTCCATTGAACCTCACGCCTACTGCTTCAGTGACTCCATGCAACCACCTCATTCTCTGCCGTTGCCTTCTTCTTCTTCTTTTTCCCTCCATCATTCCCAGCATTAGGCTCTTCTCATGAGGTGGCCAACGTCTTTGAGTTTTGTCTTCAGGATTTGGCCTTCTAAAGAGCAGTCAAGGGTTGATCTCCTCTAGGACTGACCAGTTGGATCGCCTTGCAGTCCAAGGGACTCGCTGGAATCTTCTCCTCCAGCCCCAGAGTTCAAAGGCCTCCATTCTTGGGCGCTCAGCCTTCCTTATGGTCCAGCTTTCACAGCCATACATTGCAACTGGGAAAACCACACCCTGGACTCTACGCACTTTTGTTGGCAGGGTGATGTCTCTGCTTTTGAGTGTGCTGTCTAGATTGGCCATAGCTTTCCTTCCCCAGGAGCAAGCATCTTTTAATTACTTGGCTGCAGTCCCCATCTGCGGTGATCTTGAAGCCCAGGAAAATAAAATCTATCACTTTTTCTTCGTTGCGTAAAACCAACCATGCCTCTAAGTTATGCTTTTTTACGCAGCGAAGGGAGCTTTATTACCACACAGGAAACTGGATGCAAATGTAACCTTCCAAAAATGGCACGTAATTAAAAAAAAAAAAACCACCTTCACCTGCCTTTATAGCCAAGCTGGGATACGAAAGCAAACAGCGGCATTCAAAGCCTCTCTATAAAATGCTATAAAATTTGCTTCTCCAGAGCCCTTGGGCTCAAAGATTGACTGATGTATGTTAAAAAAAAAAAACCTTGGGGTCCATGCAGCCGCCTGCCTGCCTGGTTCCTACAGATGGTCAAATTCCAGCAGTCCAGGTATATATACATATATATATATTGCTCATAAATGGCATTTCGGTCTCCAAGAATCCATCTGATGTTTTTTTTTAACAGTTGGCCCCCAGGGCCCTGGGCTTAAAAAGAGAGAAATATAAATGGGACTTCTCGTTGCAACGATCAGCAGCCTTCTTTTAATTTGCTCTTCGAGTATTTACCCTTGCAAGGAGTCAATTACAAGCCTGTAGAGAAGATTTCATTCTGGTGGGTCAGAAGCAGGACGGGTGGAGAAGGGGAGGCATGAAATATCAAGCATCTGGAGAACCAGAGGTGTGCGCCTGCCGTTTTGCGATGGGAGAATAAAAAGGATAGTAGCGGTCCACAACGCCTCCCAAACCCAGCGGTGTTCAAACTGCAGCACAGCAGGAAGGGAGATAGGAGAGAAGATTTTCAGCTTGGGTTTTGAGAGAAGGAGGCAACCCTTTCACATTTCCCTCCCCAGCCATTCCTTTGTATATTCCAAGTCCTGCCTAAATATGGATAAATTTGGAGAGTGAACCCCCCTCTCCCCGAGTGGCTCACGAGAAATTAGGTAAGATTTGAGAGGCTTCCAGAGAGCAGCCAAATTTGTAAAACCCAACCGTAAATATTTAATAAAAACTCTTAAAACTGGAAAAAAAAAAAAAAACACCTGGTCTTTTTAGTAGAAACCAGGTAAACTAGTCATGTTCTTTTTTTTTTAATATATATTTTTTATTGTTTACAACTCTAAATATACAACAGTGCTGCTGTTTTGGCGTTACATATACCGTACATGCAAAGATATTGCTAAACCATTAACTTTCATATTATTGATACAATATTTGCTTTTTGGTTCTATTCATTCTATTTCCCCCCCTTGACCTTCCCTTCTTATTCCATGTTTCATAGTAAGCTGATTCCCCCTTATTTTTCAATTCTAAGGTTGACCTATCCTATTCTGCCCAAGCTATTATTTTCTTTATTATTTCTCTTTCTGGTGGTATGGTATAAGAAAACGAGAATCCTGGAAAAAGACCTGCCTTGTAAACATACTTATTTCCAAAAGAAGTCCGAAAACTTATAGTATCTATCACTGAGCCCTAATTAACCAGGTTCTCCCTATGGCCAAAGGGAAAGTGCTTTTTTCCCCTTTTTATTCATTGTATTCTTCTTGTCTTTCTCTTTCCTCTCCAGATACACTCTCAGTACCTCGCTGGTCACCCCAAATTCCTCGGCGGGATCTTGGAAACTCAATCAAACACAGGTATAACAAATACATACATATACAGGAGAAACCTACAGAGCCCTGGTATAGATATTGCATTTTATGATATAATTGATGCAAGGGTAGCTGTTTTATATCCTCCTTGTGGTCCCTCAACAGATATCACTCATTCTTCAGCTTTCTATGCATCATGGTTACTGGTAGTTATGGATACTTGGGGACAGGAAAATAAAACAATACTCCAATCCCTTAATAACTATCGGGAGAAAATGTATGTGCACAGAGTTACTCCAGGTGATGCAGTCATTCAGGGACACTAGCATGCTCTGTGTCGAAACTGAATTTCACACCACCTAATATTTTGTTGCTTTTGGGGTTTTTACTGGGCAGCCGTAAAAGTTAGCAAAGTTCCCTCTTTGCCTTGGTGGGTATATAGTTGGTTTGACTCACTCAAAATCTCACTTGCATTAAATACTGAGAGCAAATGAGTTGCAATTGATTTGTATTGGCTTGCTATGACAAAAATCAATAAGTAATTCAGACTTGGGTTAGTGGGAGAACTAAGACTGCAGAAATTGTGGAAGATTTATTCGGTGGTCTCATTTGGAGAAGAAGCAGCTTTTATACTGTAGACTTAACAGAGGTCAACCTCTCTCTCTTTTTCTCTCTCTCCCTCTCTCTCTCCCTCTCTCTCGTTATTTCTATCTCTCTTTTTCGTTCTCTCTTTATCTTTCATGCTTTTTCTTTTCTTTTTTTCTTTCTCTCTCTCTTTTTTTCCCCTCTCTCCCCCTTCTTTTTCCTCTCTTTCTCTTTCACACATTCTCTCTCTCTCTCTTTTTCTTTTTCTTTTTCTCTCCCTCCCTCCCTCCCCCCCTCTCACTTTCTCTCTTCAGGTTTTCCACGAAGTATTGGATGTCCCAGACATGCACTGTCTGCGGGAAAGGAATGTTGTTTGGGCTGAAATGTAAAAACTGCAAGTACGTCGTCTCCTTTTTTGTAAGAGTGTGCATTCCCCAGACACCTAATATACCAAACCGTTGTGGCTAGGCTCTGCTTTCCTTTGCTGCAGTCATCTGGCCCTTCTTATAGATCTCCCTGCAATTCCTGTTCATAGGGGATCTAAAATAAGGTCTTTTCACCAGCATTTGTCAAGGCTGGGCCTTTGGTATCAAGAGAGCTGGAAGTGCTGATTTTGCCCAACCAGCCCTCTCTCCAGCTTGATCTAGAAGTCTTTGTCGTCCTATAATCTTGTAAAAAACCAGTTTGTTCTAGTGGTTAAGGTACCAGGCTAGGAAATGGAAGACTGTGAGTTCTAGTTCTGCTTTAGGCATGAAAGACAGCTAGGTGACTTTGGGCCAATCACCAGGAGATAATGAGCTCTAGTCCCACCTTAGGCATGAA